CCCAGCGGGCTGGAAGCGTTTCTAGCGCCATGGCAGCAAATAAGGGTTTTCCTGCTCCTTCCTTCAGGCACAGGTTGAGCCACGCACACAAGGCTGTAGGCCTGGGATCCTGTTTGTGAGCGTCCCGCATACTTGACGAGGCTGTGCGCTGTGGCGCTTACAAACGCTTTTTGCAGAGTTTGATAGATTTACAAAATACACTTCCCTTTTCACCACATCCCTGAGATGATCCAAGCCTTGAGAGAAGCCTTGAAGCTGATTATGGGAGAACAAACTCCAAAATGCAGATGGCTCAAGCATGAGAAAACCCAAGAAGGTGGCCAAAGGCTCACAGAGACACAAAACAAGCCCCACACAGCATACAGGAACTGAAATTAATTTTTAGCATCTGCCAAGTGACTGTGACCTGGTTGCTTATGATTTGTTTAGACTGAGGAAATCTAGAAGACAACTTCCCTCACGAGTGTTACGTTAAATATTTGAGATAAGACATATTAGGAAATAGGAACAGCCTGTGGTAAGAGGGAAGACAGCTGGCACTGCACAATCTGCAGGCTGTTGCGGAGGCAGATTACCCGTTTCACAGTGTCGTAACGCCATTGCCTCATCAGGCATGTGGCTCTTCTGCTCTCCACACCTCCCACATTGACTGTTCACAGATGAAAAAATACTAGGTTTTAAGGAAAAGCCACTGACGTTTATCCCAACTGATAACCGCTCATTGCTCACACCTATTTGTGTATAGAAAGGTAATTCATTTTAGTGAATTCTGCAGTGAAAGAAAGATCAACACATTATCTTGTTTTCTCCGTGAGCTAATCACATGCATATGTGCACTTGCCAGAGCTTAGTGAGCACTAAAAACGTGGCAGTGTCTGGAACTCACATCTACTAAGTATTTTTTGTTTGTGTGGTAAAAAATACGCACTCAGATGTTGCCAGTCTGCTTCTGGAGCCAAGAATTTATATGAAATTGTTTCGCAATTAATATAAAGACAAAGTAAAACATAACATTTCAATATTTTATTCAAGTTGGGGTTGGGTTTTTTATCCATTTTTAGTAGTGTCAAGTACAGCATTTTGGGGTCTAGTTCCACACAAAATGGAAGACTCTCTAAAAATGTACCCATTTAGTTGCTAAAAAAAAGTGGTAATAAAACAAAAGTCCATTTTGAATTCAGTGATGCAACTATGTGACTGCAGTTACAAAGACTTCCCTGATTATGGCCCTGTCTTACAAGCTTTCCAGTCAGTGCAAGGGAGAGGAACCACAACACAGGACAGGTAGCATTGGCTGAGTCACACCAAACCTCCTCCGCAACAGACTTAGACAAAGTGGACAACCTAAAGCATTCTGGAGACAGCTGCAGGTGTCAGATAACCAAGTAAGACAAACCATTCATGAAATTCCTATCTAAAAAAATATTTTTCAAAAAACAAAAATCCCTTTTTTAGACATGTTTGCACATTCCATCATGAATTGAAACCTTAAGTGTTGGAACGTTTTGCTTACGGAATTAACAGTACAATACAGTGGTCTGCGACTCTTAACATCTCCATTTTTATACTACATTAACGTATTCCTTGCGCAGTCGAGATGTTACTAAAGGTAATCCACACCTTCCTATCTTGTGGCAGCTGACAGATGTGATAGGCAACAACATTCAAAAAAATAAGCCTGGAATTTTTTTTAATGCTTTTGTCTCCATTTCTTCGACAACATCATTTTAAAGCTTAGCTGTCTTTAACCAGGACTAGCAGGACTGATACTTAGCAATACTTGCATCCCAGACATAAAACATTGAAAGGTACACTATATTCTGAAGGTAGCTATGCTGTATTTTCAAATTAACAATTGCAGAATCACTCCTTAAGCTTCAAATTCCAATCCTAGACCAAGTTTGTGACCACCTGCATTGACATTCTTGCCATCCAACAAAGCTGACAATGTCAGTTTGATACCTGCAAAATAGAGAAAAGGGAGAGAAAAGACAACTATTAGAATTTGCAATGAGCTTCATGTTCAGGAAGTGCAGCATCTGTGTTGCTGCTTTAATTTATTGGGTAGGTAGGTTAAAATAATTTGGTGGCTAGCCTTGTAAGGACTGGGCATTTTAAAACAATTTGGCAGACATGAAATCTTTCTGAATTATGAAAGTTAAAGTAAACACGGTGACAGATTCTGCTTTTTATCACCCCAAGTAATTAAAGCTCTGAGTCAGTTCACTGCTGCTGGTCTACTGATTAATCTAATCTTAGAGTCAAGCATTATGAAAAATTTGGACCTTGATACGTACCTTGATTTCTAAACCACTTTAAAATCTCAGGACAAAAAGGCCCAAGCCCTGCCTACTGTAATATCTCATGTCAATCTGCTTGGTATTCTGGCAGCAGATTTATTAGACCACATTAAAACCAATTTCACAGCGGTAAGATTGTCCTCTTCCTGGACCAGAGGACCTTGAGAAAGTCACATTTTCAAGTAAAATAAACTCAGTAACAGCAAGCCTCTGAAAGTACTAAAACTGTATTTACTTATCTGTGAAACACCTAACCGCAGGTATACTGTGTCAAAATGAAAGAGCATCTGACTGGTCAGCAGATGGTGGTCTCTAATAATCCCACTTGCAACAGCCGTGCAAATTAACAGAGCAGTCCCTAGAAAATTTCACCATTTTCATCACCAAGCAGAACAGCAATGTTACAAAATCATTCACATTTTGTCACAACAAAACCTCTTTGGTATTTCCAGACTAAAATATCACTTATTGATGTCTGAACTTCTTCTGCATAGACTTACCTGGCTTTAACGTCTGAGTGTATCCTAATCCGATCAGACTGGAGTTGTTCACTTTAGCCTTAAAGGAAAAAAATACCTTCTGTAATTAATGTGGCATCTTCCTTCAGAGTCCTTCCTACTTGAAAATTAAATAAGTTTTTAAGCAGGTAAAGGGTTTCATCTTTTAAGTCACCAAAAAATAATAATCTAGAGATAATTTTGCCTCAAAATGAAAATCACAAAAAAGTACCCAATAATACAATAAAACAGCCTGTGTCTCTTTTAAGGAAAATACAATAGTTGTCCTCTCATGCTGCCAAAACCAAGACAAATAGATATACAAGCCAACTGTACACCACAGAACTGCATGAAAACCGTACTTTACTGATGCAAAGATGCTTCACATTTCTGTTACGAGAGACTATTTTCTAATGCTTATAAATGTACATGCACAGCACTCACGGAAAAGCAGGCATCTGGGTCAATCTGATACTTGGCTGCTATTCCAAAGCGAGTGTTGCTATTACCAGCCGTCCAAGCAAGGTTCACGGCAGTTTCCAATTTATCATTCACCTTCTGGTAAATGGAGCCACCAAATTCCGTTCCATCATTCCTAGGAGGAATGCATTCATCTCATTTTAAACTATACTCAAAAACAGTAATCTTTTTTTTTCTCTCTCCAGTGAGATCTGTATTTGCAGAACATTTAATATTTAAACACCTCATTTAATATCCTTGTAACAACTAAAATAGAGACATTAGGCCAGACTGGTTATGAAGTTATTTTCAGATACTTAAATTCATTGATGGTTACTATATTTCAACAAACAACTTATGAAACTGAAAAGAAAAAAAAAAAGCCATGACAAACTTTCAAAACCAGACTAGTAATGATAGTAATGACAACTTCCAATTTTCCCTTCTCTCTAGATGGGAGTTTTTTGTACTAACAAGATTTATTCTTCTCTGCATATCTCTGAAATAATTCTTTTCCCCAGTGCCCTGAAAGGGCTGGACCCCAGTCACCAAGCCTCAACAGTTATCTTAACACTGCCTCGCCAGCATGCTTTTACCAGATGCAGGTGAAACGTATCAGAAGTGACAATGCCAATTTAATGTCCAAGTCTTACTGGCTTTTGCAATTGAACACCATTTGCAACAGTCCTCTCGGTTCCTCTGTAATACAGATGTGTCTGTACTACTGGGTTGCCCAAAAAGTAATTGTGGGGATTTTTTTAACAGCTGGACATACATGTCTCAAAATGTAAAACTTCATTTTAAACTGCAAAATCATTATGTATCTTGACAGCTGTCAGTTCACGCTTGTTTTAGAAAAAGTGCATGATTTCGTTAACGATTATTTATTTGATGTCAGTTTGAAAATGGAAAATCAAAAGGAACATATTCATCGTATTTTGCTGTATTACTTCCAAAAAGGGAAAAACACTGTGCAAGTTCATAAAAAACTATGTGATGTGTGTGGTGAAGATGCCTTAAAACTACAGCAGTGTCGGAATTGGTTTGCTAAATTTTGGTCCAGGGATATTGATGTTAAAAGACGCACCACGAAGGCCAGTCAAAGTTGATAACGACAAAACAAAGGCATTGATCGACTCCAGTCAGCATTTAACACCAGAGATTGCTGATAATCTTAACATATGAAAATGAGGCATTGAAAACCATTTAAAACAACCTGGGTATGTTAGGAAGCTCAGTATTTGTGTACCACATGAGCGCAAAGAAATCCATCTCACTAAACACGTTGACATCTGCGATTCTCTTGAAACATGAAGAAAATGATCCATTTTTGACACGATAACAGGTGATGAAAAATGGATTGTTTACAACAAAGGATGAACAAGATTGTGAAGCAAGTGTGATGAACCAGCTCAAACCACTTCACCAAAGCAGATCTTCACTAAAGGAAGGTTACGCTGTCAGCCTGCTGGGATTTCAAAATTATTCTGTGTATTTTGCATTGCTTCCAAGGAACCAAACCATTAATTTGGACGTGTACTGTTGTCAACTGGATAAATTAAATGATGGCATCAAACAGAAGCATCCAGAATTGGTGAATCACAAAGGTGTTGTGTTTCTCCATGGTACCGCTAGACCACATACCAGATTGGTCACTCGTCAAAAATGGCTGCAGCTTGGATGGGATGTGTTACCACATCCACCACATTCACCAGACCTGGCACCATCAGACTGCCATTTGTTTCATTCTTTACAAAACGCCTTGAATGGTAAAACCTTCACTGCTGATGAGGATATAAAATGGTTCTTGCAATTGTTTTTTACTGAAAAAGATAAACTCTTTTGAGCTCAGAATCATGCAGTTGCCTGAAAGATGGCAAAAGGCAATTGAACAAAATGGACAATATATTGTTTAATAGTTTTTGTTTCCTGTGACAATTTCACCTTTCATATACTCAGAAAAAGAAATACAGTTACTTTTTGGCCAACCCAGTAGAAACTGAAATGAAGATAATTTTACTGTGCAGAGGGCACTGACCAACAGCAGAATAATGACAGCCTTCTAACACTGCTGCTGAGTAGCACAACTTCCAATTACTACTGACACCAGTGTCACGCAGGGAATGAAGTGTGGTAGATAAAATGCAAAGTGTTAAAGCATGCAGGTCATAAAAGCAAGAGCAAAAGACTTCTAAAATCCTTGCACTCCTTGTAAACCAGTGAGCATCTGAATTTCCATTTTCGCTCATTTTCGTAAAAGAGGATACAGACATATTGCACAAAATAGGCTTTAAACTACAGGAAGACCTCTGCAAATGAAGTATTTATAATTATTTCTAAACTATGAAATAATCTGGTTCCAATTATTAGCAGACACCAAACCTTTAGTGATTAAAAAAATGGGGCAGACTTAGAATCTTTCCATTTTTACCCGTTTAGACTGATGTTCCCTAGTTCCTAACAGTTGCACAAACAGCAGTGATACGCCTATTTAAAAGTTCAAGCAATAGCAGCAGCCTTTTAATTTGTTAGAGCAATTCTTCCAGAAAAACACTCCAATACTTACTTCAGATAAGACTGAAGCTCACATATAACTGCATGTGCTTGGCTCTCAAGAAAAGGAGGTATTTAAAAGGACTGAGGAGAGCTGGTTACACAGGCAGACTTTGTGCAAGGTTCCCACACAGCTCTGTCTTGACCTGCAACATTAGGGGGGGCGTGGTCTGAGCTATGCTTAAAAAACGAGGAAAGTTGTATTTAAAACTAGAAATTATCCAGCACTACCTCTGTTTAGTTATTAGTTTTTAAAATAAAAATAAAAGTCAAACTTGTTTTTAATGCTAATAGTAATAACAGCACTTTTCAGATGTAGATTAAAAAAACATTATCCCCCTATGAAAATTAATATATTAAGGCACCGTTAAGGAAAGTAACTTGCTAAAGTTCCCAGCTGGTCTGTGTGATGCCAGGAACAAAAGGCGATGCTTCAAGCCCCACCTAATTATCAGCTCTGCCACAGCATCCCTGTGAAACTCTGGAGATAACAACCGAGCAGGGTAGTGATGGGAGTTCCACACACAACTGTGTCTGAGGTTATATAAATTATATGACAACTCTGACACGTTTCAAAGCTGAAACATGTCAAATACCTAACTCATCTATTAATATCAATAAATAAGGTTTCTATTCATAGCACACATTCATGGTTTTGCCTGTCAATTGGCAGAGCATGAATATTAACTCAACAAACTGGGCATCCTCCTGAAGATGATTTATCATCCACATACAGTAACAGCAACCTAAGAAACAGACCCTTAGGAATCCAAAAAACAGCATAGTATGATCTGAGCCCCTGCTGCTGTTATAAAATTATTTTCTGCTGTTGCTTTAATTAAAAGTAGTAATAATTACAGCATTTTATAGCAATACAGCATTTGGAACTGCTACAGTATAACAAAGTTGATAGTCACTGCACTAGAAGGAATAGCTCCTAACTACTGCGAGGAGGTGGACCCCACAATGTTTTGATGAAAGTTTTCTGCCTGCATTTTTGTGTTTTGGCAATCCTTCAAACATCCTGTCTGGGCTGTGAGGGTTCAATTGTTCTCTAAGGCAGTTTGAGCTTCCTACACCAGATCTCTGCAAAACAGCATGAAACAGAACAGAAAGCCTTTGAAGAAGCAGCTCCAGGAAAGCAGAACAGTTGTTCAGCCCCCAAATGGGAACAGCCTGCAAGAGCTCAGCTACAAGCAAAATATCCACTCAAGGGAATGGGAAAGGCAGGGCTGAGGGAATGAATTAGGGCTTGCCTAATCTTAAGAAACTGTCTTCCCCAAAGGCATAAATTGATTTTTTAAGAGGAACAGGAGACAGAGAAATTAAGGTTTTCATGGAATTTGGTCCTGGCTTCCCACTGCTCATGCATTCAGAAAGGACAAACGTTAGTGTAAATCGCTTACTAGGAGTTACAACACTAAAACAAACTTCTACACCATATCCCTTCCAGTACTAAAATAAATTCAGTACATAGCTCTTCTATTCATGCCCTTTTGTCTGTGTTCATCCTCTGATGAACTTTCATCTACAGATGAAACCACCGTTTTGTTTGATTTTGACATGTGCCAAAGAAAGGCGCTGCTTTTATTTCAACTTTCATGAATATTCTTATAACCCACTTGTTTTATTTTTCTGCTAATAGCTTCTAGTAATCTTTATCTGCTTGAAAGACAGACACTCGATGCTTGGATGTTCAGTGAGCTCCAGTTCCTCCCATCATGCACTCCCTCACCCACATAATTCAAAGAAAAGTTAATACAGCTAAAAAAATGCATCTTGCCATCTTAAATGAAGCAGTAATTTCAAATCCACCATTCTCTTTTTCACTGCTGAAACTCCATCCCTTCCATTGTTCTAGTAAGCAGCAAAATCCTTTCAAATTCCTTTTTCATACCCATCTGCCAATACTTACACATTAGTATGAAGCTGGAATTCATCGGTCTTATAGCCAACGGCAAAGTTGCTCTGAGTTACTCTAGACTTCGCTGTCTCAAAAGTCATTTGGTAGCCTGCCAGCCACCCCTCGTAGCCAACCACCAGGGCTCCACGTATTGAAGGCCCAGCAATATCAAAATCCATGTCGCAGCCAATGTTGATGTGTTCCCGTTTGTACCCTGACTTAACTTTAGCGCTCTTCTTCCTAAAGAGAAAGGAAAGCATCTCATCTCTTTGAAAACATACACTTGTAGGTAGCAATTCAAACAAATTATTTCCAGACAATGCTAGTGACCTGGGTAATTCCATTTACTGTGACAGAGGTCAAGACATCTCTACTTTGCCTCCAGCTTCCTGAAGGAAAGTCTCTGCTGCTAAGGAATTAGGGTGCTTCAGTGGCTCTGACACCCTGTTTTCTCCTTAGGATGCTTTATGAAGTTTAATGGTTACAGCCATTAGAAAGGCTGCCAGGTTAATGCAGAAATAAACTTTCCTGACTCACTTGTTTCTTTTTATACTACTGGCCAGAACAGTGTTTCCTCATGCGTCCTTAGGTGAGCTTACATCAAGGGTGCAGAACTTCACAAGGCTGGAAAGTTATATCCAATATATCCAGCTACTCTTACTTAATATTTTTTTAATTTTCTTTTTACCTTACATGTGTCTTCTGTCTTTGACCAAATCTTTTACTGAAATCTTTCTGGAAAAGTCAGGTTAATTTGAAATGTCAAATCAACCTTCCACTTCAGCTACCAAAAACAGTCTCCAATAACTGTTTCAGACTCAAGTAGAGATTGCTCTCTTTTTTATTATTCTTATTTTGGACTCAGAAATTTCTTATGTTTTGCAACCCAGAAATAAAAAGTGGGATCGCTAAAAGCACTCAGCATTAGCTTGTCTGTAGAAGTCAGCAGTACCTCTCCCACCAACATCAGCAGGGACACAGAGCGCTGCTAAAAATTACTTTCCTTGTTGAAAGACTCATCACAGCCAGTAAGCAGTACGGAAGGGGAGAAGGAGTCTCATAGTCATTCATGATGCATTCCTGTCAGCCTAAACCACGCTTCACCAGGATTGAATCTCATTCCATTTCTTCCAGTTTTAACAATCATCCCACAAGGCAATTGTAACTCAGACACTACAGTGTCTGTGAAGGGCCTAAGAAACCGCTATGGAGTTCTAACTTGTCATTCTTGTACAGCTTTTTTATCTTTTTAAGAAATAATTATTAACAAACACTAGAGATTATTTTGATTAACAAATATGAAAGTATCTAGTTAATGCAGAATTGGGAATGAACTGGAAGCACTTTACAATGCAGGACAAAACCTAAAAGACAGGATGAAACCTCCACTGACTCTAACCCCGGCAGCCTGCAGCGCAGCACGCTGCTCTGGGAAGCCAATGTGCAGAATATTTTGCCTCACTGGCAGCACTGCTTGCAAAAAGATAATCGGGGAGAAAAAAATAAACCACCATCTAGACCTACAGCTGCTACTTAATCCTTCTGGCCCACATAAAATGTGGCATCCAATCGCCGCATCAGAAATACTCATCCACCACCCAGGCACGCTGTGGCCAGCAAGAATTCAGATGATAAATTCCGCTCGGGAGAAGAGCCCAATTACTGTGCCGACCTATTAGAGCCGTGGCCAACTGGCTCCCGGAGCTTGCTAGGCTTTGCGTTACAGCTGACTTGTTTAGCACTTTTATTCAGACAGTAGCTCATCCTCTGGCATGGCCAGAAATAAGCAACAGGAGTGCAAACAAAACCTTTTCTTCCCACCCTAATTCTGACCATAATTTTCAAGTTACTGTGTTTAAAAGCTTGCTTGCTATGGTTTAGGATTAAAAAGGGATTGTTAATACTAAGGTTTAAATCAGATGTACATGATTTCATCATACACAGACTGATTATTAACTGTCTTGATATCTTAGGACAGAACAAGTAGAGAAGCAAGACTATTCTGGAAAACTAACATTAAAAATGCCTTTTTTGTCACTTAAGCTTACTCACTTCTTACCCAGTGTTAGGAGAGAAGGAGGAGTCAAAGGTCAGCTTCAGGCCATGGGCAAGCTGAACAGAAAAGAAATTCACTGGTTGGATTTATAATTAGAGATTGTCATAAGTGAATTTTTAAATTGCATCTTTTGAGCTAAAAGTTACCTGATCTTCAAGAGTAATCTCAGTGCCCAGTGTGTTGTCGGTGTTCCACTTCTCTGTGAACATCAATCCATATTCCACCCACTTGTATTTTGTTTCCAAACTACCACTAACTTTGCTTGTTTCTGAGTTTGCTGAACCTGAGCTTGTAAATTCCTAAAAGGAAGGAAAAAAAACCCAAACCATAATATGTATTTGCAAATATGCATTTGCATACAGGCAAATACTTATACTTGCAGAACACGAGTCATTATAATTTGGGATATTATTCAATACTGCAGAGTTCTCAGAAGATTTAAGAACATGTTTGCTAGCCATTAATACCAGCACACTCTTGCCCCACAAAAAAATTCAGTGTCAGAAAGAAAAAGCATTGCATGCTAAGGGAATGGATACAGGACAGGAACGTGGATAACCCTCACCAGCAGCATAACACAGAATAATATGCTGTCTGTAACAAGGTGTATCTGTGAATCGGCAAGCAAGCTGCAAACACTTCATAGATGTTCTGAATGTTAGCTCCAATACACAGCTACATTGCAGCTACACTTGTGCAGTGACTGCTAAGAAAAAGAGCACGCAGCACATTTAGAAACCAGCACGTTTCACAGAATCACAGAATGGTTTGGGTTGGAAGGAACCTTAAAGCTCATCCAGTCCAACCCCTGCCATGGGCAGGGACACCTCCCACCAGACCAGGTTGCCCAAAGCCCTGTCCAACCTGGCCTTGAACGCCTCCAGGAAGGGGACATCCACAACTTCCCTGGGCAATCTGTGCCAGTGTCTCATCACCCTCATAGTAAAGAATTTCTTCCTAATATCTAACTTAAATCTCCCCTCTTACAGTTTGAAACCATTACCCCTTGTCCTATCACTCCATGCCCTTGTAAAAAGTCCCTCTCCATCTTTCTTGTAGACCCTTCAGGTACTGGAAATCTGCTATAAGGTCTCCTGAGAGCCTCTTCTTCTCCAGGCTGAACAGCCCCAACTCTCTCAGCCTGTCTCCATAGCAGAGGAGTTCCAGCCCCCTGATCATCTTCATGGCCCTCCCCTGGACCCGCTCCAACAGCTCCATGTCCTTCTTATGTTGGAGACCCCAGAACTGGATGCAGTGCTCCAGGTGGGGTCTCACCAGAGCAGAGCAGAGGGACAGAATCACCTCCCTTGCCCTGCTGGCCACACGTCTTTTGATACAGCCCAGGATACGGTTGGCCTTCTGGGCTGCAAATGCACATTGCCTGGTCATGTTGAGTTTCTCATCAACAAGCACCCCAAAGTCCTTCTCCTCAGGACTGCTCTCAATCCATTCTACACCCAACCCGTATTTGTGCTTGGAACTGCTCCAACCCCAACCTTGCACTTGGCCTTGTTGAACTTCATGCGGTTTGCACAGGGCCACCTCTCCAGCCTATCAAAGTTTCTGCTCATTCAAAGCAGGAGGGAGGCACTGACACTTCCTCCAAGCACAGGCCATGGCCACGGCCTCAAACAGCAGCATGATTCTTAGAGTAAGCTATTACCGTGGTTGCAAAGAAGCCCTCCATTGTATTTTCTACTCTAATTTGTGCAGTCTCCTATGCTACACAAAAACTATAAATGCAAAGTAACTTGCAAAGTTATAATATATCTCAAAAACGGTAAGGGAAGAGTAAAGGATTACGTATTTACTTTAAAAAAGAAACATTCAGCAAACATAAGAACATTGCACTGTTTTAGATACCAGTGTGTTTGCCAACTCACCAGTCCATTTTCAGATCTTGTTTTCAAATCAAGTTTTATTAACCCAAAACCTAGAAGATCAGTAAAAGATATGAATTATATATATGTTAATTTGAAAAGCATTTCTGATTTATTTCTTAAAACTCCCTTCTAAATCCCCCATGAACTATTAAAAATATAAACCAAGGGTACAGTTATCAAACTATGTGTTTTTATGAAGGAGTTTACACAACTTGTATTCACTTCAGCAATATAATTGGGACCAAATTAGATAATAATGTCTTTATTCATACTGAGCACCATTTTGTTCATAAGCAAACTACTGACATCAATGATCCTATTCATGATACAAGGAAACAGTCAAAATACAACACACAATTTTCCTTCAAAACAGACAACGGTCCTATGGGGAATAGGAAGAATTTTGTGAAAAGAAAAGTAAGTTACCCTCCCTTTCCAGACAGCAAGGGCAATGTGAAGCTACGATAGAAAATTCTCTGGATTCTAATGGGAATTGTTGGAACATTTATCAAAGAAGAGCAATAAAATCCTAACAGTTTCAGAGATATCAGGTAGGCAGTGAAAGACCAAACTTATTTTGGCTTTATTTACCATATCCCTTGGTGAAAACATCTCTGGCAGATTTGCCCAGATCAGCGTAAGCAGGTGGAACAGCCATTTCCTGGGGAGAAAAAGAAAAAAAAAAGAGAAAAAAAATTACAGTGTTGAAAAACTTGTTTATTTAATTCATTTAAATGACAAGCAACATAGGCCCAATTCCTAAGTTTCAGGCAGTTTTATTTTCTGCCTACCACCTACCAATTAAATACAGCCTAGAGAAAGCAGCTATAGTAAATAGTGTCATTTGATTTTGTTCATTAGCCAGCACAAGCAATTACCATGCCTTTGCCACTGAGGATGAGAAACAGGTTGCAGAACAAATATATGTGTATATAAAAAGAAACTGTCTTTCCAAAGAGTTACCTGTTGTTCTCTTATCAGTATAACTGCACGAATGAACAACTGCTTTTTTAAAAACCATTCCTTGGAAACATTTCTTCTGTTTCATGCAGTGGATCTATGCGCTGTGATGCAAAGAATCAGGGCCCCAAGTCACCCACTGATGAAATGTAACCAGGACAGGCATCAAGCAGCAGGAGCAGCTCTCTCCCCCTAATTCACAGCAGCAAATGGATACCATTTCTGTTAGCAAAATCGATAAAAGGTCATTCTTCCCCTTCTGTTTTCTTTTACTTTGAAACAGGTGCTAATGGCTTAAGATGTCTCCTTAGACATTGACCTTTAAGTGATTTTTCTGTTCATCAACTGAGAAAAAAACCTGAGCTTGCTGAGAAAAATGAAGAGTGAAGGGATGCTGTGCAGTGAAGTCAGGCAGGCAGGAAGGCAGCCACAACCCCGCTTCAGCACCCAAACGCGGACTGGAGCTCTCTGCAAAGCCTGAAGCCAGACACCAGCCCAGTGGTGTGGACGCTGCAGGGGCAGCTTTCTCCACGGTGTGCGGATCCATAGGGGTGCCCACACTGCCATGCAGGTCCTCATTTTCCCATCTTCAGCAGGCCCTGACCATTCTTAGTTCAGTGGCCTCCTGTCAGAAGCATGAAAGCATCTCATTTTCTCAGCCACTTGTATACGGAGGAGAAAACAGGATCCTGAGAGAGACAAACCAACCAAATCTACTTTCTGATCCAAGTACAGTAAGTTATTCTAGGGAAGCAAAATCAAACAATCTGAAATCTTTATAGACAGAAGACACCTGCTGTCTTTATAGACAAGATTTCATTATTTTAAAAAAGCAAGAGATAAACCATATGTATAAAGCTGGTCCTCTTAATAGCAGATGTTGCACTAAAATTCCAGATTCTCATACTTTTGGGTTATGCAAGAGTAATAAGCAGTTTATTACACAAGCATGCAAATGCTTAAAAGAACTGCCTGCCAATCCTTACTCCAGCCTATTCAGCATTAGCAGAAAACTATTCCTTTCAACCACAAACAAAACAGCTCACTCTGAACAGGAGGGGTGCTCTCTATCGCCGTTCTGGCTGTAGCCTTGGATGCATTTCTTTGGGCAACCACAGCATCCCACAATATCAGACAGGGAGGTTCAGCTGTCACTCAAAGCCCCAAGGACTCCATCCAACAAGTTGTTGCCTGCTAAAGCAGGACATTGCTATTGCATAAATGAAGAATCCCTACCCTAGAGGGAAAAAACAGATCTGGTGCCTTAATAAAAGCAAACTGTCTTCTCAGAACATAAAGTAAGATACAAGAGTGTGTAGCACGATGTTGACTACCTGGATGCATCAAGAAGTCCTGTCATCTCTTTCCAGGTATAGTTCAGTAATAAACTGCAGCCCCAAATATGTAAGCAGCTAAAGAGTTAAAATTAATAAAAAATATATTTCATATTCCAAAGCAGTTTTAGCTGCTTATATGAGACCTAAGTGTTTCTCTTCATTTGTTGTGCAAACATGAAAGCTGGGATTTCATGTTTATAAGCACCACTCGCTACAGGAGAAATAACTTCAACAGTTGATCAGGACTGGCCTTTAAAAACAAAAACAAAACCAAAAATCCAAACACAAAAGAACCCCACACAGACACAAAAAAACCGCAACCAACCGAACCCAACTATTAACAGATTTCTTTCAGTAATTCCTCTGCTCCTTACTAAACTCACTAGAAGCAGAGTGCAATGCCTTGCTTGAAGATGATACCTTGCAGCCAGAGCCAAGACAGCACTCAGGAGAGCGATGGGAGGATTCACCAGGAGCTGGGTGTGTTCAGGAAATGCTGCTTCCCTGCCACAGCAGCCAGGCCTCAGGAGAACCCTCTGACGGGTATTTCCATTTAGTATCATCAAAAATTAAAAACGTTACAAATCCCTGCATTTGAAACTCAAATAAGCATTGCTTTGAAAGGTAATACACTGCTCTGCCAGCTGCACTTCGGAATCTACCAGGTATATTTCATCAAGAGTCCCTCTGAGTCACTTCATAAAATCAAATTATTTTCTTGAAAACTGAATGCTGTGTTTTGGGTTGGAGTTTGTAGGTGATGTTTTTTCCTGTGTCTCTGGCTGTGGCTGGCTGAGCTGTGACAGGCTGCTCCGCTGCTTTGGTTCAGGCTGTGGCTACAGAACAGTGGGAGACGTCGAGATCTCCATTAGGCAATTACTATAATTAGGGGACAATACTGAAAGCCAAATCCCTGCCGGTTGTAAGGCAAATCATGTAACGCACACAGAGCAAGGGGTACAAAACTGCCGAGTGTGGACAACACTGAGGACTCTGTACCTGCTGGTTAACCTTGCTATTGTCTGCAAGAACAAAAACAATTATTACTGTTTGCACCAGCTAATCAGAAGCCTCTTGTTTAACAGATGGAAAACAAAACTGATTACGTCCTGTGCAAGTGCAGGTTGTAAGACAAGCATGCTTAACAGGGATTCAAACTCTTAAAGGATCAAGGAATGGCCGTGGCCAAGTGCCCTTGCTTTTCACCAGTGAGATCCCAGCACATTAACTCAGATTAGGTCAGGACTGAAACGAATTCGTTGCTTTTATCCTCGTCCAACTGTGCAAACAGCTCAGAGTGGCTACGTACCTCGCCTCCCGCCCACAGCAGGCCAAGGAGAGTGTGTGTAACGGGTTCTAAGGAGGAAAATACTTTGATTTTCTTGAGCAGGAAATACTGTAGCACAGGTCATGACTGAAGAAAACCTAAACGGAGGAGTGAGGACCGAGTGTTGCTGTGAGCATCACCTCCAGGAACACCTGATTTATAACTGCCATGGGGAGAAAACGGGAAGCTCCCTTTGGAGCTGCAGGACCCAAGAGCCAGCCTTAGTGAAGATTTCACTAAAGAGAAAGCACTTTCAGCAGGCCAATTTGAAATATTTTCCAGTGTCACAGATGGCAATGTTTTCACCCTATGATGCAGTCCTGGGCAATTAAATCAAAATCAGCTCAACAGGCAGCAAAGCCCCAGGGTGCCCTTGGCAAATGTAAGGACTGGCTGTGACCAAAGGAAAAGTCTTTTCTGCTTGAAAACTCTCTTATGTGCCCAAGTTAAAGCTTCTCTGCACAGCCTTATCAACTTTATAATATTTACATGAGGGGAAGGAGCAATCTAAAAACTTAAGGTAAGAATAAAACCCATGATAAGAACAGAATTCCCATGAAGACAATCAGATTCAAGACTAAGAAAATAAAAAGGGTGGATTTAACCTTAGTCTAGCCACATTTTTTTCCTAATAAATTTGAACTCCTGTACCATTTCTTGATGGTAACAGAAGTTATGAACATTTCAGCTCCCTGGCTCCACACGTAACAGCTGCCAGCGACATGTCCCACCAGTGTGTGAGCTGGGAGGGACAGACGGCAGCAGGTTATGGGACCAGGTACAGCCCATCTGCATGTGGAAAAAAGCACACGAGGCCCTCTTGCCTCTAGGTCAAAAAAACCTAATTATTTCTCATTAATCTCTTTCATTATTCCTTGGGACAAAGCAACTTTTAAGCGCCTTTCTGGCCCCCCAGCCTGTGCAGTGTCATTCCCCAAAAAACCTATGCTGTATCAATAAACTGACCAGGAAGGGCGGTGCTTTTGCTGTTGGGCAGGACAGGCTCAGCTCTCCCCACATGCCACCACAGGCTGGCCACAGTCACCAGCTCCACGCGGCACCCATGTCCCTGTCCCACCCGCCGACACCCCAGGCTTCCAGGTGAGCACAGTGCTGGCTTCACACTTTGGGTTTTATGATCCAGATCCCAAACCCATTCAAGTCATGACTACAGCCTCCTTTGAATCAGAAGCTTAATTCTCCAGAAACCTAATAACACACTTAACCATAAATACATGAGTAGTCCCACTGAGGTCAAATGTCAAGTTCAGCACATTCACAAGTCTTCTGAGAAGCCAGTATAAGCACGCAATTTGTAAATACTCTGCATTATGGGACACAATACTTACCACTTTTTGCCCTAACTTGCTACTGTGCTTACGTCATATAATCCATGTACCATTATGACCCAAAATTTAAGACTCTGGAGTCCACAATTTCTCTCATGCAGGTACTAGTAAACCCATGCAGGATCACAGCCTTCCTACCACAGCTTTGCTTTTGAACTTCATACATGACGGAGCAGATTTAGTTTTTAAAGACTGGTCTATGCAGTATCTCTGTAGCCCAATAAACACAGGAGCAGAGAGGAGATAAACCTCTTAAAAGCAAATGTAAATATTATGATTTAGCCTGTAGTAATATTTATGGAATTAAAGAGCCTGCTCTTAATTCAGTGTGTATAAAGGAAGAATGACAACCTTGTACAGCAACTCCTTATTAAACTATCACATAGAAATGTCAATTAAACAAAGTTGGGAGATGCTGCAGTCTGCTGTAGCTGCTGTAGTTACTAACCCTGCAAGGGAAGAACAAAGAAGCATATACCCTATACATTAAATCAAACATTCCGTTTAACTACCTGTGTCTTTCAGGTCCCTGCAGAGCAGGGGATGAGCAGCGCTGCTGTCCCACCCTGTGCCACCAGCAGGGCACAGGGGCCAGGCAGGCACACGCCACGGCACAGCACTCAAGAAGGGACACGTCCCTCGCTCCTGGCCCCACTGCGGGAACACCCAGCACCAGATCAATGGGG